AAAAATGCGTCCGGCCGGGATTTCTTAATCGCCCAAAATGTCTGGGATTTGGCTGTTTTCATAATCTCGCTCCCGCTGAATCTCTGACCATTGCCGCCTGCTCCTGCAACATGTGTTTCGCTCCCGCGATTTTTGTGTCCCCTCCTTTAAACATTCTAATATTGTATATAATTTTGCCGCATCAGGGAGCTGCTCTCAGTATGCGGAGTATTTAAATCCCTTTTGAATGAGCGTTCGCGCTGTTCACTTTTGATTTCACGATCACATCTGTGTAAAGGGAGCACATTTTACAAGATCAGATATTTGTCAATGAGTTCAGGATCTGTTGAGCAGCAAATACTCCAGCATGGTCTTGTCAGTCATTTCTCCTTATTCTTGACCTGAGATCAGTCAAATCTGACTCCGGCAGCTCTTCTGTTTTTGAAGCGAGCTCACAGAGACTGTAACTTCATATATCAGTTTCTGTGAAGAAATGTGCATTCCTACCAGGACATTCTTATCATTTAATAATGATAAACCGTGGTTTACTGGGAAACTCAAACAGCTTTGTCACGTCAAAGAGGATGCTTACAGAAGTGGGGATAAAATCTTGTATAACCAGGCCAGGAACAGACTAACAAAGGAGATCAGAGTGGCTAAAAAAAACTACTCTGAAAAGCTAAGAAAAGAGCTTTCAGCCAACGATCCGGCGTCAGTATGGACTGGTCTGAGGTAGGGCTGTGCAAAAAATCAAATGCGATTTTCATGCGCATCTCTCAGACAAACTCACACAACTCTCCGTGCCCACCTCCACTGGGTATGCCACTGTCAGTGGATCACCAGCTTCCTGACAGACAGGCAGCAGCTAGTGAGGCAGGGCAAACTCACATCCAGGACTATCACCATCAGCACTGGCGCCCCTCAGGGTTGTGTTCTCTCTGCTCTTCTCCCTGTACACGAATCACTGCACTTCAAAGGACCCCTCTGTAAAGCTCCCGAAGTTTGCAGACGACACCACAGTCATCGGCCTCATCAAGGACGGAGACGAGTCTGCTTACAGACATGCGATTTTCATGCGCATCTCTCAGACAAACTCACACAACTCTCCGTGCCCACCTCCACTGGGTATGCCACTGTCAGTGGATCACCAGCTTCCTGACAGACAGGCAGCAGCTAGTGAGGCAGGGCAAACTCACATCCAGGACTATCACCATCAGCACTGGCGCCCCTCAGGGTTGTGTTCTCTCTGCTCTTCTCCCTGTACACGAAAGAACAGCTAGGCACAAGAACAGTTTTTTCCCGCAGGCTATATTCAGTCTGAACAATTAAACTTTCATAATTATACATCATCCATCACACCTGACATATTTATACACAGAATCCAAAATTTGTACACTTGTAAACTGCACACTTTGTAAATAACATATCTGCACACTTATAACATATCTGTACATTTATCTAAACAATTAAATTTTTTATCTATAGTTCTATTTCAGTATACAGTACATTATTATTTCATTTCTGTTTTTTTCTTCTTACATTAGTGTTATATTCCATCCCTACTGTGTTATTCCTATGTATGTCTGCACTATGTCTGTACTTTCTTCTACACTGGAAGATCCTTTCGTCAAGTCAAATTCCTTGTGTGTGTAAACATACTTGGTAATAAAGCTCTTCTGATTCTGATTCTTCTTGGATGCAGGGTTGCCAGGTCTGCGTTTTTTTCCAACAGTATTGGGCTACTTTTAAACGGTTGCCATGGGTTGATTTTCCCAAGTGGGTTAAAGGTTTGAAATATTGCATAAATTACATTTGACTGAAATGCTTGTATTGAAACATTTTGCATTCTACCTATGATAAAACTTCCATGGACTTTTACATTAACTGTTCCCTCCTGGTGGAATGACCTGCCCAACTCAATCCAAGCAGAATCAAGAAACAGCTGAAAACACATCTCTTTCATCTTCATTTGACCCTCTAACTCGAGCACTCTCTATTATAATACTAATTCTAATTTTATCTGCTTGTTTTTTTATTTAAAAAAGTGACCCTCTAACATTTGCACACTCTATTCTATTTCTATTCTAACTACTATTTAAAAAGAAAAAAGGAGCCTTTAACACTAGCATTCTCTGTTCTTTCTTTCTACTTATTTTATTTTTATTTATTATAAATAATGACCTTCTAACACAAGCATGATCTATTCTTTTTCTGTTCTACTGACATTTAAAAATGACCCCCTAAAACTCACATTCCCTATTCTTTTTCTATTCAATCTACTTGTTTTGTTTTTATTTATTATAAAAACAAAACAAGCAAACAAACACACAAAAAATACTTTCAGGTGATTTTGCTCTGTTTTGTTTGGGTTTAGGAAATGGAATAAAATAAATTCCATTTCCCATCTTCTCAGGATACATGGAATCAGTGTTACAAGTACCGCAGGCACATTGTTTTTCCATTTTTGTAGCAAACACCATCAAACTGATGAAAGCTTCGGATCTTCGGATCACAACATAATCACATTTTGTTGCTTTGCAGCCTGAAATGAAGACAGACAGTTTTTGTTTTATCCAGCTGTATTTACTCAGTGAAACTTAAAACATCCAAGTGAAAGATATCAACTTTCATCTGTGATCAGCTGTGGTCATGTTGATTAGCTCAGCATGAAAAGAGCTTTCCTGGAGCATTTCAGGCCTTGGTAGTGCAACTGAAACAAACAACCAACTAAAATATCTCTGGGATAAAGTTGTGAACTGGCACAAGTCAGGAGATGGATACAAAAAAAAAATTCAAAGGCTTTATCAATGCCTAGAAGCACAGTGAAATCTATTATTAAGAAGTGGAAGGT